TTCTGCATATTTAAACATTCCAGCAGCGTTCTTCCATTTCTGTAAATATTTAACTCACACATGTATAGAAAATGTATCATGAAACCAGAAATGTATACGGATATCTTAAGCCAAAGTTATTTCGACATTCAAACTGTGCTCCTGGTATTCGTTTGCACAAAGCAAGTGAATTCTTTTCTTTTAATTTTGAATTTACAAATTCACATCCTAAAACTATATAAAGCAGGTTTAAGGTAGTCAGACGTTTGCATATGGTTTTTCCATTTTGGTTGTGTACTGAATGATGCTTGTTTATGTTTTTTCTCTTACTGTGCATGTTCACTTAAGCATCCGCTTGCATGTTGTGTTGCCACCTTATGTTTGCACCTGGAAACATTAAAGACATATTTTTTTGTTTATGGCTGTATGTTTCTTTATTGGCTCAGTTCTCTCGTTGCATTAGCATTTTTCCAATACCGCCTCATATATTTTAACTTTTGGCTCACAAAGTCCTGCGCTTACTTGAACATGAACTGATATATTTTTCTTTCCCAAGCCAAATCTGTGCAGGAGAAGCTGGCAGAGGCCATACTGAAGGAGTACCAGTGCAGCTCAGAGCCCGAACTGAGCGACACCAGTACTGAGGAAGAGGAGGAGTCTATAGATAAAGGCCACAACAAGGGTACCAGATTTAAATTTTCATTCAAATCAATAAGCATGCTGCAGAAGACAACTTTTGCACTAAAATCCATATTTTCCTAAACAATCCCTCATTTACATTTGCAGATGCAGTTCCAGAGAAATCATTGACTTTTACAGAGGAGCAGACCCCCGTAGAAGAGACGAAATGTGAGGAAGGTGTTGTGGAAGGTGAAGTGGTACAGGAGCACGAAACTGAACAAGAGCCCTGCGAGAACAATGACGGTACTAAAGATGAGATGGTCAAAATAGATGAAAATATAAACACAGCAGAGAACGATAAATCCGAGGACACAGACGATACGGGTCTGCATCCTGTACGTGAAGAGGAAATGGCTGAGGATGGCACAACTTCAGAGCCTCACGAAGATACAGCAGCTGAATCCACTGATGCTGAAGCTGCAAAGAGAGGCGAGGAAAATGAGGAGAAAACTGCAGTGGAGGCCGACGTGCAGCCGGACAAGACAGGGCAAGGGGCAAAAAGCAGCGAGGAGGATGAGTCATCAGTATCAGAGCCGAATAAAGAGACTGATGAGACAGCAGTGCCCGATAATGCAGAGGCGGAGGCGATGACAGCGAGCGAGACAATGGAGATGAAAGCAGAACCCTCAGAGGAGGGAGAGGCCCTCAACTGTGAAGAGGCACCTGTAGCCGACACAGAGAAGAGGCAGCAGGGACACAGCGAGGACAGAGCGGCAGCATCAGAAACAGAAGTCTCAGCAGAGACTTCAAGCAGCTCGTTGGAGGGGAGCGCAGACACCACAGTTGAAAAAACAGCTGATACAAGTGAGGACAGTGCAAAAGATGAGAGCAGTAAAGATGATATTAAAGAAGAGGAAGCAGAGGAAGTGTCAGCAGTAGAGGCTAGTAAGGATGACAATCAAGAAGAAAGGTGTGATGTGGGGGAAGAGCAGACAGAAAGATCTGTGGAAACATATGATAGGTTAGAAGAGAAATCTGAAGAGGAAGGTAAGGAGGAAGAAAATCAAACAAATGCAGATGAGCTAACAGAAGGTGACAATTATGAGGAAAGAGAGTGGGATGATAAGGACAAGACAGAAGAAGAGAATAATGAGAATAAAACAGAAGGAGGAATAGAAAACCTGGAAAACATTTTAGAGTGGACTAAAACTGACTCGAACACTGAAACAAAAGTAAATGAAGAACAAGCTGAGAAACCCCACAGCAAGGAAGATGAAGACAAGGCAGATGAATCAGAAAAGGCAGAGAAAGATCAAGATGGTGAACGTGTCCAGGATGAATGTGACAAGGAAGAATCTGAAGAAAAGGGTGCCACAAGTGATGAAACTAATGAGGGTGAAAAGACAAATGAGACAAACACAGCTGCTGATGAAGAAAGGGATGTTGATGCAGACAAGGAAGAGAAAGATCAGAATGAGAACGAAGCTGAGCAAAGTGAAGCTGTGAAGAATAAAGACGACGAAGAATCTAAAGAGAAAAATGTAAATGTAGAGGCAGAACAATTATCTGAGATTGTTGAAGAACCTGAGGAAAGTGCAGATGCAGACTTGGACAAAGATAACGTGAAAATATGTGATGCCAATAATGTTGTGACAGAGGATGTCGGTGATAGTGAAGCAGCAAATTTAGCACATTGGACTAAAATGACTGAAGAGACACTAAACAACACGATGGAGGCTAACGATGTTAATAAAGAGACTGAAAGACGAAGTGATAACATTGATGCTGAAAATGGAGAGATTTCTACCAGAGCAAATAGTGAAACTCATGAGGATGCAGACGAGGCCCAAACTGAGGGCAAACGTGACGTGAAAACAGCAGAGAATACCGAAGATGAGAGAGAAACTGAGGAACCTTTGGAAGACGAGAGCACAGAGGTAAAAGAAGTAACTGCGGAGTCTGGAGAGGGCGGTGAAAAACATGAAGACGACAAGTTTGAACAGGCTCTTGATACTGATATGGCAGAAAGTGAAGCTCAGGAAGGGGATGACTATGTGGAAAAGCAAGACGAATCTGCTAAACCCGGCTCGCAGCCAGACACATCTGGTACGGAAATTAAAGAGGAATCTAAATCAGATGACGGAAAGGATGGTGAGGAGACAAAACAAAAAGAAAGCGGTGACATATCTGACCCTGATCATGAAAACAGGGATTCAGATGGGACCAAAAAGAACGATAACTCTCAGATAAATGTCAGCGAGGTCATAGTTGCTTCCTCAGGTGATCAGGCGCAATCTTCAACACCCAAAGCTGTGGATTTAGACATCACAGTTCACGAGTTAGATGAGTCCACCTCACCGTCTGACTGTAAGGCTGACGAACACCCACACACTGATGAAAGTGCCGCTGCCGCTGACCTCTCTGCCACAGACGGAGATAACGGAGCAGACATGGAGGATGCGAGCAAGGCCTCGGAGGAAGGAGCGAGTGTGCTGCTCAAACCTCAAGAACAGTCGGCACAGCTGACGCAAAACAACGAGGCTGATAACACAGAAGAGAGCGCTCCAGTTGGTGAAGAAACTCCAGAGGCCTCAGCAAGAGAAGACAACACAGATCTGGTCACAGACTGGGTTACCACGCATCAAACATCAAAGTTCTTTGAGACGTTTGTTGAACCTTTAGAAGACTTGAAGGAATCGCCTTCGGACATGCAAGAGCACGCGCCAAAAGATGTAAATGAGTCAGGGGACAAAGCCGAAGAGGAAGCTGGAGAGTCAGACCACTCTGAAGATGGCGAACCATGTGAGGATGACGCCGCCACAGACACACAGCAAGTGGAGGAGGGGACTGCGGTGACAGACTTCATACAAAAAACGGAGAGTGAACAAAATGACAAAGAGTCCGTGAACGGGCAAGACGTGGGGTCAGTAGAGCACCAACGAAGCAGGGGATCTCTGGAAGAAGACACAGTTCAAGAGGGTTTAATGGAGGATAACGCTGAGCAAACTGATATTTCCAAAACTGAGGTGGAAAGCATGGCAGGTACTCCTCATTCAGTAACCAGTGGCAGGCCTGAGAGCGTCTCCGAGAACCAAACTGAGGAGAAAAGAACTGATGATGGTCCAGACTTGAATGAAAAACCTGCAGCAATTGAAGAGTTAATAGATCTCTTTCATCTAAAACAGAGAAGCATCGTGAGCATTCGTCAAGCCCAGAAGAGCTCTCCGAACCGAAAGCAAATGAACTGAGAGACACAGAAGAAGAAGCATGGGAACAAAGTCGACAAGTTACAGAAATAGCTGATTTTACAGCGTCCAAGTCAGAAGATGGAAGCCAGGAGGAGGCCCGTCACGAAGAGATCCAACCCACGGCGTCAGACATGAGCATCAGCGGAGACAGAAGAGACGTGCAGCTCATCCAAGACATCGCACACACTCTCAGTAAAGATCGGCTGAGCACTTTCTCAGTGGATGAAACATTGTTTGGTCAAAGTTCATATCCTCTGCTGACTGCCGTGAGGACAGAGAGTGGACATTAGAGATTCACACGTCAGAGCGGCACTAAGGTGCACTGAAGCTTTCCTTACTTTACAAGATAACATACAAAAGCAGTTCAATTGTAAAAGTGAGTATTTATAAAGCGATTAGACAATCAGATGGCTAGATCAGGAAACGTAATTTGATTTCAGTTTTGACAGAGTCCGTCAAGTGTCCTATGGCTTCTATGTTTACATTACAATGACTTGTTATATAGTCTTCATCCCTCAGTCACCAAGAAGAAGAAGCTGCATAAGGAGTTTTGACGGCTGCAGGAAATGTTTACAATAGCCCATCTCTTCCTATTGTTGGTAACAAAGAGGCAAAGTTTGCGTGAGGTATCAAGCACAGCTGCTATCACCTATTACCTGTAAACAGATACTCTTCCACTCACACTCACAAGTGAGTGAATAATTCATAGTTGTTGGACTCCCACATCTTATTTGGTACACTTTACATTTCCACAGACCTGGCACAAGCACTTCACTACAGGAATGTTAACCAATGATTCATTTATCATTAGGCTGCTAATTAGGTAATTAAAACTGTTAACATTTTGAAATGTCAAACCTACGCACTGATTTGTGTCATTACTGCTGCTAACACTACCTCTTATTCAAAAACATACTTAGAGACTTACTGTATATTTATTTGGATTGCCTATTCACCCGATTTTTATGGCAAGTGTGGGTTTGTGAGGCTTCATCTTTTCATTTGAGATCTGTCAATGACTGAACCCTGGTGTGATTTGGCCACTCAGAAAATAAAAACAGTGACATAGATAGTGACGTTCTGCTTCTTACCCCCCTCACTTGAATGAAGAGCGGGTGTACATTTGATGTCAGAATTAACGCGAGCTTTGACTGAGATTCTCAAAGCTTGTATTTCAGATTCGTGCAAACCATGTGTATACAAAAACAAATGGTGCTTGTCATACATACAGTATTTACAAGATCTGAAAGCCTCAACAAAATATTTAAAAATTAATTACATACATTTTGTAACCAGTAAATCAAATTTAACACAAGACTGTAGATATTAGGAACTAAGAGTACTGTAAACAACTCAACCCATATACAGTATGGTACAACTAAATACAATTTAGGTAGCAAGTTAGTTAGCAACATCTACTTCTACCATCTATTTATACAGTTTTACTTCAAATGAATTGTCAAAAACCAGGCATGAATGTCTGGATTAATAAGGCAATAATAAAGCGGACTAGGAGCTCAAAGCAGGTTCAGTTACTGTCCTCGAAGCTGCCACTGCTGCTGAAGGAAGAGCAGAATCTCATGGTGCTCATGGGATCAGACACGTACCCTGAAACAGAGACACTTATTTGTGAATAATAATGTTGATAATAATGTTGACACTATCAACAATTAAAACAAAAGGCTGGTGAATAAGGCTGATATTATTGTTGTAGGAAATCAGTCTTTTCAGTCTTTTTTTAAATAAACATGTATATTAGTGACTGTATATTTGGGGAGTATGCCACAGACAGGGTAGGGAAGTTGAAAAAGAAGTTGGTTTTTGTCTTTTGTGTGGGATTTGACAATTAGGAAAATATAGAATAGCGCTAGCCTTTTAATACCTAAGACCAAAACTTTTTTGGAAAAAGGTTTATTATACACAAACAATTAGATCAAAAAAACTGAAATAACCAATTAACAAACCATTTCGGTCAATGGGGGAAAACTGCATGTTCCTTCTGAGTTCCTCCAGTGAAAGGCCTCCGGATGCACGACGGCGCTCACTGAAAAATAAAATAAATGAAAGCAACAGTACTCATTAATCCACTGCAAAACAACACTAGTCTAGAAATCTATACTGCTTCGTTTACATGGAGAAGGACAGATAAGATGGAGCCAGATAGAAGCAGAAGAAATTCAATATGTAATGTCCAACCAGGCCGCTCTTACACAGTATATAAAATTGATGACATGTTTGATGGGATAAACAAAGACACGATCCGCACACTGCTTTACAAAATGAAAGAAATTTTTAAACAATATTAAATGATCAGGGGTGGTGGCACAATGGATAAGACACATGCCTTTGGTGTGAGAGACTGGGGTTCAATCCCCCACTGTGACCCATCCACCATTGTGTCCCTGAGCAAGACACTGACCTAATTGCTCCAGAGGCGTGTGACCTGTATAGCAATTGTAAGTCACTTTGGATAAAAGCATCAGTTAAATGAATAAATGTAATATGATCAGCAGCATTTATTTATAGGGAATCTCTCTTCTAACTTTGATAGAGCACCAGGGAGCTACAGACAAGTCACTGCCACGCCACAAAAAAAACAACCTTCTGTTAATGGCTTCATGGTGACTGTTACTGGGCACTGACAAACACACACACACAGAGACACACAGTACAGAGGCTTAAAGCCCGGCGTCTAATGGGGGCCTTACTCCTCGCATTTGCTTTCCTTTGTTTCCTGTTCAGTATCTGAGCAACAACACTCCTCAGTGTAGACATAAGTATCTTAACTGATCTACATGTTGGCATAACAATTGTTGAGAGGGAGTTGTTTCTGCAAATCAGAGCAAGCCCAGACATGATGTTTAGTTAGCAGAGTATTAAGCTGAAAACATTTAATTGAACCTCCCCTGGTGATAAACAGCTTCAGATTTCTGAAAGCTTTTTAACTACTTTTTGCGGTAATTTTTAAGGCCTATCCAGCTGGTAACCGGTGTTCCCTCTACAACAATCACTATAAAAACAACATCTATATATTCAGTTTGATCTCAGGTTTATTTTCAACCAATCAAAGCTCTGACAAAAGATCTCAGTATGGCTGAAGTCCAACTGTTGTGTTTATTTAAACACTAAATTATCTCTTTGATGCAGTTTCACTCTAGTCATTTTTATAGTCATTGTAAATGTCACTGGGCCATTAACTTGGCTGCACATATAATGACTCGAAATTCTTAAAAGTATAGCCTGATAATGACACACCATTGACATACCATTTTATTTCAGTATTAACTGAGTCACTGTGTCGTGTGAACATCCTTCAGTTACATCAAATCATCTTTATGTGCCCACTTGTATGTCATCACAAGATGCAGCAGTTGTTGTGATTGCAAGTGCATGTTTTTCATTCTTTTTCTTCAGCAATATGCTCCATCAGTGGCCAGGTGATCTCAGGTGGAAAGTTGTCCATTAGTGATTTAAAGGGATTGACTATGGATCACTCCACCCAGCCATTAGACTGTCACAGACTATTTCACATTAAAGAAGTTATGTGGGTCATTAGGTGTCGGCATTTCCATATTAAGCTGATTGCTTGATTGAGCGAATATCAAGTACATCGTTTTAGATGCTGCTTTTAAATTCTGCATCAGGGCTTTGGCTACATTCATTTGAGGAAGACATCTTTTGAAGTAGGTGGCACAACTGTTAAGGTCTCCCCTTCTTGTGTTAAAAAAGATGAACATGACATCTCTTCTGGGAGCATTGTCAAATTTCTCCAAAACTATACACCAAAATTTGTTTTGGAGTAAATATAAGGAAAGAAAGGAAGCCGCTGAATCGCGGCAGAATGATGGATCTACAACGTCAAGTTTTAACAGTTTGGGAGTTTGTGGAGGCAGATTTTAGCACCCTAAAGGGCATTCAGACCAAAAGCGAAGTGAGCGTTGGGGGCGGTGCGTTTACATACAAAGTCAATGCAAAGACATGGAGCCGCGGTAGGGAGCAGCGCTCCAGCTTTTGGACAAATAAACACCCGCAGTCGGTCAAGATTATTCTCTGACAACTGCGCTGTTTACTCGTGGGAGGAGCTTGGAGTAAACTTTTATTAAATTGGCTTTTTACTTTAATTTTTGGGAAGCGAGGAAGTTGAACTACCTGGTGAGTTCAGAAAACATGTGTCTGTAACTTTATTCCAGCTATCGCTGTACTTTACTGTGACCAAGTTAGCATAGCATAGCCCTGATCAATTCAAACTCCATTCAGAAAACAAACACTCCGTACTTGTATTGCGCCTTTCTAGTCTTTTTCGACCACTCAAAGCGCTTTTACACTACATCTGCATTCACCATTCACACACTGAGCCTAAGTGCTCAAACGGAAACTAACATTCACACTCACTCATACACTGGTGGAATAGCCGCCAGGGGCAAATCGGGGTTCAGTATCTTGCCCAAGGACACTTCGACACGCAACCAGGGGGAGCCAGGTATCGAACCGCCGACCTTCCGATTAACGGCCAACCCGCTCTACCTCCTGAGCCACAGCCGACCCAAATTTTAGAAATTGTTGCCCTGCTGTCTTGCTGACAGACCTGTCAAAGCATAAGTTCACATGTTTAACAAATCTGCATCATATTGTAGTTATTTCGGCATCAGTTTGATCCGTTTATTGCAATTTAATCACAGCAAAATGTTTACTTTGGGTTCATACAGCTGTAGTAATGGCGAGTTGTGTTTATTCGCGTTGTGTATGAACACTCAGCAGTTGTCCAGCGATAAAACCCCCGCGAGGAGAGCGTTGCGTGGATTAAATTCGCTTTTGGTCTGAATGCCGCATAACTACTGATTCATCCAATAAGAGGCTCAATTCTCGAGTACACTGTATATTGTATACAGTGACACGTGCAATATATTGGTTGTTTTATATGGATTTTGACAATATTTAGGGAAGTTAAGTCTTATTACTCTGTTTCTGCATTTACAAAACTGCTCTGAAAAGCCAAATTGAGAGGCCACAACTGTTGTTTAATTATATACCAATCAAGAAACATAAAGTAATTTTGTTCTACTGCTAAGTCACTAAATTAGACCCAACAGCAGGGTTACCAAAGCATCATGCAAACACCTTAAGCTGATTAAAGACTAACTCAGACTCTGCTTCAACTAATAGTTGGGTTATTGGGAGGGTGTGAATGTGGCAATTGTACAGCAAATGATTCTCACGCCCTTCACCCGTCTGTGGAGGTGCTTGAGTTCTCTTACCTTTGAGTCCAGAAGGCGTAGGCGCGAGTGTTGAGAGCATACTCGAGTTCAAAGCGGGAGCGCAGGGCGGCCACGTGGCTCCGGCCGGGTCCTCCTCGCCCCAGCAGACAGTCAGAGGATGAGGAGGGCGACAGGGAGCCGCTGCTGTTACTGGAGGCTGGAGACATCAGCTGCCCCACACACAGAACAGCAGAAATACAGTCACAATTGTGAGAATTGATTTATCACAACATAAGTGTCATGCGCTGCAGCCTTAAATGGGATGACACTTGAGAATATGAGGATGCTATATACCTCAACGTTGCACAAACATTCCTCCAGGTTGGAAACCACTTCAGAGAATTCAGGCCTGTCCTGAATTGGAAAAAGCAACACAGTACAATCAAATGCATCAGGTGGCCACAACAGACAGACACGTGTGTTCTCTCAAACACAGCCCTGTATGTTGTGCTCATTTTAGTCCACCCACACATGAAGCAAGGGTGAACCCTGCTTCAAAAGCAGCCTTTAGATCTCATGCCTCACTGTAAAAGAACAAACACTGCCACCCCGGAGCTGTTCAATTATACATCACATCCCTCAGACAGGCCAAGGTCTGTCCACGTGCTACTTTCACTATAGAGACAGGAAAATGAAGACAGCACAGTAAAGATGAAAACATAACAACATGACAAGCCTTTGCCAGCATCTCATTTTGATCTTGGCAAATGCTTTTCATAAATGATTGTGTTTGTGTAGTTTCTTTGGTCTTTCAAGTTTATATGATCTTGTACTGGGGGGATTTTCATAAGCCTATTAAGAACAACATTTAGCAATTTCAAATTACATTGGTGTCACAGAAGCAGAAGTGTTCATCTGAGAACAGTGGTCTGAAATCTGCTTACCCTGCAGCATGAATTCTCTCAGGCTTTAACAAATACCTTTGTACAAATCCTGTAAACACAGTGCGGCGTGTCCCACTTTTAAAGTCCGTGGTAGCTGGTGTACTGGTGAGGCACCATGAGAGAGGCGTGCAACATGAAACTTTATGAGCCTATTATAGTGTCTCAACGAAGCTGCCCTGGGACAAGGTGATCACAACTGGTTGGCAACCAACAGGAAGGAGATGTAGCCCACCGCAGAGGGAGGATTGTGCCGACATGCTCGGCCGTGTTATAATGTGTCTTGATGAGGCCTGGCTAAACATCACAGTGCTGAGAGGGATAATACAGGTAATGCGTGCTCCTGAATGTGATGAGCCATGCAGTAATGGATCATCAAGGGCCCAATTCATTACTGCTGCACACATTTGCAGGGGCAGCTGACTCGGCATCAGTTGCCTTTCTGAGCCATTGTTGTCTAAATTGCTAATGACATGGAAGGATTTTATTGGGGAGAAAAGGAAAAGGCTTCAGATTATCATGATAACCCAACATGTCCAAGGAACTTGGCCATAAGAGGTGAACATTCACACCTGCAAAGAGAGCATCGTAGCAGCTCAACGTGAAATAAAATATACACTGGCTTGCCCGACAACTCAAGTTTCACAAGTGCAGCGGAGGCAGACACATTGATCGAGGCTAACAGTGATGTAGGAGGTACTAATAGAGCATCTTAATAGTGGACACTGTTGAGCAGGTATGTGTGTGTGGGGGAGACACTACAGCCACATATATGAGGCTATTATGCAGCCAAGATTACCCTAAAACTTTGCACAGGTATGCATGTTACCCTGCAAATAGAACATGGCTAAGAATTACTTTAAATGTATGACTTGGAACATCAATGAATGTGGAAACCATATTAAATGAGGGAAGATGCTGTCATATCTGAAACACAACCAGGCATAGCTTTTATTCAGGAAACCCAGATGATTAAGCAGTTGAACTTAAACAATGCTAGGTGGGTCTTATTTTCCATTGTTTTATTTATTTATGTTTTTAAAGTGAACAAAATGGTGTAATTGTACTGATAAATAAGAGTCCAAGTTTTGTGTCCTCCTTTAGGAGGTCAAAGATAAAAGCACTCCTCAATGGGACTAAGATGATAATCAATATTTATGCAACTACATTTTTCTGCAGTGAATGTGATTCTAGGAGAATTAAAAGGGAAGATAATACTAGCAGGGGATTTCAACCAACTTATGGATGTATTTTAGATAAACGGTGTTGTTACTTGTAAGTTAAATCCAATGGACAGATCACACTGCAATAGAGCTTTGCATTGACACAGACTGGAATACAAAGGGCAGATGGAGACCAAGATGAGGCCTTTAAGTTATTGCTGAAGGAGGACCAGAAATTTTATTTTAAAATTAATACCTGGAGTACAGATACCTCCAAAGCCTATATAAGGTGACAGATTATAGCGCAAGAAAAAAAGAGAGTACACAAAGATAAAGGAACTGGAAACGCAGATCGAAAGTCAAGAACTAAAATGATGAATTTATCTCCAACATGCCCAACCTCTCTTCTGAACAAGCGGAGTCATTAGATGGTCCAGTAATCGAGAACGAAGTCAGAACAGCTATATCAGCTATGAAGACAGGGAAATCACTTGACGGGTTCCTGGCTGAATATTATAAACAGCATTATCCTAATCTGGCCTAATGTCTGCCTCATTTAATCTTTCTCTAGCTAGGGAGCAGGGTTATTCTTTATCACCCTTATTGTTCAAGATCGTGTTTGAAACACTGGCTATTGCTATTAGAGCTAATGCAAATATTAAGGGGGTAGAAAGAGTTGGGAAGGAGCAAACATTATTATTATACATGGACAATATTAATTAAAAACCCTCAAAATTCTCTACCCCTCTAATGGACACAATATTTAATCAATAGCAATTTGTACTTTAAATGCCAAAAAGATTTTGGTTCAGTTTTACATTTCATATGAGAATACAAAATGGTCAAAACGTTGTGGATAAAAGTCATATAATATTTGGGTAACTGGGTAGGGATGACATTACCATTATATCCACAGCTATGTCTATTAGGTGACAAAACACTAACCCAAATTTCAAATGGGGACTTATCAGTTGCCATGGTAGGGATCTTAACAGCTGGACAATCCTTAGACATTGGAAAACCCTGAATAGCCTAGATTTTAGAAGAAGAAGAAGAATGACAAAAACAGCATCATATGAGTATATGCTCAATAAGATAGATGGTAGAAATAAAACTAAAGCTCCTGCCTGGGAGCTGTCATTTTTGAATTCTCCCTAACCACTGACATTGTCTCACTCTGGCAACAAGTGAATGTCTTGCTGGTCGAATTGCCAGTGATGATGTCATGTCACAAAAAAAAAAAAATGTCACAAAACAATCCCTGGCTGAGTATACACTGGACTGCACAGCACCTAGTGGATATAATCTACATTGTGTAAAATTTTATAAAATGTACAAATGAATTGAGAACAAGTTATTATTTGGGCGACTATTTGTGATAATCAGAACTAAAATGAAATTCAAGAAAAGGTGAAATTGGGTCATTTACCTCTGGGCAGGCGTACCAGCCTCTCATCAGAAGTGCAGAGATGGGTTTGGGGATGGAGTAGCCAATAGGAGGCCGGATGTGATGGTAGGCCATGTCTGCTGCTGCAGCAGCTGAGGACAGAAGAACATCTGGTTAAAAACGATCTAATGCCGTCTGACAGCCTTTTTGTTCTGTGCTTGTGTACTATTCTATTTTTCTTGTTATGTCACTGTAAAATGTATAAACAGTGAGCAAAATATTTGCAGCCACACTCTATAGACAGATATGTTATTCAGTCAGTTTGCCACTTTGGTCCAGACTGAAATATCTCATGAGACTTTGTACAGATGTCCATGGTCAACAGAATCTGTATCCTAATGACGAACTCTATGACTTGTCATCCTAAGTGCCACCATGAGGCTGAAATTTGTGCTGTTCAGTGAAATTACTCAACAATTACTGGGTGAATTGCCATTACATTTGGTCCACACATTCATATCCTTTATTGGATTAATTGTAGTAACATTGGTTTGTCCAAAACCTTATGACATTACTATCAGCCTCAGCTGTAGGCTACTAAGACATTAAACATGGTAAATAATGTTCATGCTAAACCTTTGCATGTTAACATTGTCATTTAGCATGTTAGCTTGTTGATGCTAGCATCTAGCTGAAGGTACAACGCAGCTTCACTGAGCTGCTAGCATGGCTGTAGACTCTCAGTGTTGTTAAAGAATGATCCAGTTTTTCCTTCACAACTGAGTCATGATATAAATGTCAAAACGAGCGAAAATGAAAATTTAAGCATCAAGTGCTTATTTTATGCAGTAGCAGATATTTTTACTTCTCACAGAAAGAAAAGCACAGGTGTTTCTAATTACATTAACAATTGCTCTGTTTTATTCAAGTATCCCAGTAAGTAATGGCAGTGTGACAGTGAGCCAGTACGCATATTACCAGGACCGTACAACTGAAGCAGCTAAATGAAATTCAGCCATCATTCATTTTATTCGCTTTTTTCTACTGTGTCATGTCTAAATGTGCTCAGGGAAAAGGGTGTATTGTGTCAGAGGTCTCTTGAGAGGACCCCCCTCGGGTGAACTGTAGTATACACACTTAATATCACCATTTAAGCCTATGGCTGATGAAAAATACCAGGTTTCAAGTGAGCAAAGGGAATTTCTCCAGTAAGCAGCTCCCACAGACAGAGGGCGTAGCTGAACATGTCTGCCTTCACTGAGTAGCGAGTACACTGGGTGAACACCTCAGGAGCCATCCAACGCAGGTTCTGCACATACAAGCACATAAAGCACACACGTATAGGCACATACAAAAATCATAAAATTGTGGTAATAAAAAATCATACACACACAAAAAAAAACAACTAACTGAGGCTGAATTTCTGACATAAACAGTGCGTCCCAGCAAGGGCAAGTAGCTCCGCACAACAGGCACTTCTCAAGAGATGTAACATACTTAACACCAAACTGCAGGCCAAGCACTCTGGTTAGTGGATGAGTCAGCACACTGAGAAAAAATCTGCATGAAGGCAGTTTTTTTAGCTGCTGGGTAATTGATGGTAGGTGCCAGGAGAAGCTTGAACCTCGGCAAAATAACAGCATACGCTTGAATACTAAATGCCTTATTCTTCTGTATATGCTGCAGATGGTGTGAGTGAATTTGGCCAGAGAGGAAGAAAATCTCCTTCCAAAAAGGACTTGTGTGTGTCATCAACCAAATCAAAAATAGGAAACAGCACTGACCCCCGGCTGCTTGGTCATGTTATCCTCATCCATAGATTGTAGAAATCTAGATTCTGCAGAGGAAAGCATGGATATTCAATGGTCAAACAAAGAACATCCACCGGCCGTTGTTTAGCTGTACTTTTCATCTAGACTCACTTAGCTGAGCCAGTGAATAAAATCTTCCATTGCTAGTATTACCAGAAACTAACTGAAGTGAAACCAACACAAACACTTCCCCCAGAACACATACTCCCCTTGAGTGTAGGGATGGGTTATAGCGAATATATTACATATAACTACATTTAAAACTCTCTCTCTCTCTCTAACTATATAAATGTTTAACCAGCTGATGCTGTTTGGATTGAACTGCACAGTAACGGCACATGATAAATGTATAATGATGAAAACAGAAGAAGTTAGTTTTCCCTTTCCTGTTTTCTTTTTTATTCTTTGCTGTGGTTTTTGAAACAATGTTGGTCCATGTCTTAAAAGCTTTATTCAAGCAAGGCTATATAAACTTTGGCTGAACAGTGGCCTCTGTGGTCACAGATGACGGGACAGTGGTAAACTGACTCAGTACTGTCAGTTATGCACAAATATCAATTAAAAGTTTGCTTAAGACTAGCTAACATCAGCCACCATAAGCTACTGTTCATACAAGACCACGTGAGGCTGTAGCAGCAAAACTCCTAAGTGGATCAAAACGATCATGGGTGAGTTGTATTGCTAAATAAATCAACAAATCTCTTACACATGTTAGGAAGTCATTTATTCTTTCAAATGATACATAGTTTCATTTAGTAATATTTAAGCCCTAGCAAACAGAAAAAAGCTAAAGAGCTTCAAAGTTGTTGTATCATGGATGTAGATCCAAACAAAAATCCATCAGGAGACATTTGATTCAATGTTATTATTTGAAAATGTGTTAAATCTTCCTGCCCAACAAATAAAACACTTCAAAATGCCACTCACCTCCAAAATCAGCCACCACTGCATGTCCATCCTCATACAGCAGAATATTGTGGCTGGAGGAAACGCATATATTATTAGTCATGACAACAGTTGTTTCAGATTGCCAATCCCACCACATATATGCTTCAACTGCAGCGCCCACCTGTTGAGGTCCCTGTGGATGATAGGCTGGATGAGGTTGTGCAGGTATTCCATGCCCTTTGCCACATCAATGGCAATGATGAGCTTGGACTGCAGGTCGATAAGCCTGTCCATTGACACATCATTAAAGCAGTAGCCACTTAGTGCCAGATCAATGGTCCCTGCCAATCACACACAGCACTTTACACAGATCAATAGGACAGTCTATAAAGACGGCACCTGGCCACACAGTTAGCGGAACACTTCATCTGGATCAATGATGATCCCGGCTAAGCGGGAGAGATCGGTGAGGGGACGCTTCCAAGGAGGATAATGAGACCTGAAACAGTCGGCTGTGCTGTGCAAACGGGCCCTTGTCAGAGACTGAATAACTCTTTAAGGTAGTTTGAGCTCTTTTTAGATCTAAACATCAGGATTTAGTCAACGTCAAAGTGTGTGAGGAATCAAACATAACATCACAGGAACTGATGTTAACCAGAACCTCTACTTTCATTTTTAAGCGTCCTTTGCATAATTTATTAGTAGTTTAACAGAAACACATTTAAGATGGAATGCAATGCAGCACAAGGGCCCTGTTTTTCTTGATTTAATTTTCCTTCAATCGACAACTGGATCAATCGACTGATAACTTCAGCACTACAGTAAATCACTACAAGTCTGTTGTGTTGGATTGCATGGCTGCGATTATTCTGGTCAGTTAGTTTAAATCTGATGTTAACCTGCCACTACTTTAACCACGCAAAGACTTAAATACTTCTGCTCTTTCTGTATTTGTGTAAAATTGTTAGAGGTGACAACTCCATGGAGACATCACTGGGAAGTTCAGTAGATGCTATGTGTGTCAGTGGGCACTACATGAGTGTTAGTACAGCCAGTATAATATACTATACGCTCCAGTGTGTAACGCACACTTCCTCACCTCTTCTGCTCGTGCAGGAGAGAGAACAGTGAGCCTCCAGAGACATATTGAGTTACAATGGCAAACTGGCTGGGGTCGTCCAGACACGCCCCCACAAACTGGATGATACAGGGGTGGTTGAGACGACAGAGGATGGAGACCTCTCTGCAGAACATGTCCACGTCTGACTTCGAGCAGTACGTGTTGGCTCGATAGCTACAAACGACAGTGGACATTGAAGAACACATCAGTTTTCCCCTCACCAAAGGTGAGATGCAAAATGTCATGTTTAATAGACAAGTACCGTTTTATGGCAACAATTTTGTTTCTGCATTTGCCTCTGTAGACTCTTCCAAAGGAGCCTGAATGAGATACAGATTTGAAGCTCAGTAGTATTATCTGATTAGCACACGAGCTGAAGAGAAAACAGAAAAGGTAGAGCATAGTGTTACCTGATCCGATAATTTCATTAAACTCCAGCTCAGACAGCTGAAGATGGAAGTGAGATGGGAGGCTGGCCCTGAGCAGGAGAACTTCTGCTTTCTCTGAAAACAGAGGGCAACACAGGCTTGTTGTCTTGGAAGAAGATTTAATGGACTGTATTGTCATATGTGTGTCAGTGTTACTTTTAAATGCTGTTTGACTGCCTTTCTTAGCGAGGTCTCCATTGATAAAGAGATTGTCTCAACGGGCTGTTTCCTGGTTAAATAATGGTTAAATAAATAAATAGATAAACCATTTCTAGAAAATTCTATCTCATTGATGAAGAGCTTTACATGAGTTTAATGCATCATTAAGAATAATTTGAGAATCACTTTATTTTCAAATTGGTGTATCGCTCTAAAAGCTAATACTCAGGTCAGATAATATGGAGAGGGTATATGGCCAGGGTATAATGTATAAAACTGGAGTGGAAATACGGATAAAATACAAGCGTGCCAAGGAAAAATAAGTTTACAGCAGTTAAATGTTGCCCCATAATGCAGTTCATTTGTCAAGTTTTTGGCAAATTTTTCATCTGAAGGAGTAACTGTTTTTTTTTTCTGCCAAGATTGCATGAGGAAAAAAAGTGTTTTATTACAGAGCCATGAGGGCATTCAGTGTAAGTCATTAAAACACAATTAAACTACAGCTATGGTGAAAATCTTATATATATATTTCCTTTTGACTGATTATTAGCCCCTTTCTGCAAATAGATCGAACAGCCATCAATAAAGTATAAATATTAAGTATGAATATGACACAGACAGAGACAGATCTGTGTTTCACACCGCCCCCAGTTTCACTGACAATGTTTGCTGTCATGTCAGCTGACAGCAGTGTGGGAAAATCTGCTGTGCCTCACTCCACCTCACTACCTTTAGTCATGCTTTTGATCTTTCCCAGAGGAGAAGGGACGGAAACGTAGGACCCGTCTGGAAGAGAGACGTTCAGACAGATTAATGGGAGGACTTGTCTGATTACAATCCAGATAATCATTTCCAGAGGGGGGGTGGTTCACCTCCTCCTGGCTGGGAGTACTCATTGCAGGGGGAGTCATCTGGACGTTTGTAGTGTTTCAGCAAGGTGACAATAGCATCGTGACCTGAGGTAGAAAAACACAAGAACAGCGATACTAGTTTTCATTTGATATTTTCTGACAGCCAAGCAGATCATCCCAGAAACAGACCTTTTTCATAAGCCCACATCAGGCAGGTCTGCTCGTCCTTCTCCCCACTGGACCTGCTGGGGTCGCAGGCAACCAGGTTCATGTCTGCCCCGTTGTCCAGCAAGAACTGTACCAGGCGGATGTGGCCGTGGTAACAGGCACTGTGTAGGGCTAAACAGAGTAGTCCTCGGTAGACATTTATCACTCATGGCATACATGCAGTTATAGTGAAAACCGCGCTTAATTTAACTGCACATGTGAATAGAAGAGTTTTGAAGGATGTCACCTGTGTGTCCATCTCTGCCCTGATGGTTGATGCTCATAGCATTCTGGCTCAACAAGAACTTCACCATCTCCAAGTCTTTGCCATAGGTGCATGCACTGTGACACAAGATATAGGTACTCATTATCACCTCAGAGCAACATGAATCACAGGTTAAAGTTGATGCTCATAAATTAAACAACGTGTCAATTCAGTGTGTGAAGTATGTGTATGTGTTTCTGTTTTGCAGGAGATAAATAAATACAGCGTGTGAGACAATACCTGTGAAGTGCTGTCTCGCTGAATATGTTCTCCTTCGACAGACTTTCATTGCCAGAAAGCTGTATAATCTCTTTTGCTGCCTCAAATTTCCCATTATAGCAGGCCCTGATGAAACACAACGTTCAATCCAGCACTTGATGTCAACTGTATCAAAAAATATAAACATATAGAAGGCTACTGACACTGTAAACCATTTACAAGTGTAAAGGTGTGTCGCCGTAGATGTTGACAGAGTGAGGCTGTACGTCAAAGTTGCCCTGCAGGAGGAAGCGCACGATCTCATGGTGACCAAAACGGGAGCAGAAGTGGAGAGGAACATGATCTTCATTGTCCTGGGCATTTACTGAGCGAGAAAGAAAACATCTTCAACATCAACATCATCATCTGCACTTACAGAATCGAATTATCTTCTCTGTGACTTTTTAAGAATGAATCAGTAGGTTTAGCCAGTGGATGTATTGGAGCTTAAAGGCTATTTTACACACATAAGTAAGTATATACTGTAAAACTTCAATTAATAGCCCAGGCTTTTATTTGCTTCAATCTCTGAACTCACCCTGCCTATATCTGGGATAGGCGTCTATATGAGACAGGCCCTGTTGGCACAAACGCTTGCTCAGCAAAGATGGGAAATAGGCTTCTATCAAGCTATCAGACGAACACGAAGACGAAAAAGAAGAAATAATACACACATGCAAAAACATAATCATTCATTTAATCCAGGCCAACCTCATGCACAGAGATAGAGACAGAGAGAGAGACCGACTGACAATGGCGCTAAATCTGAATGAATTATACTTTGGTGCTCACCGTTTTTGTTAAATGAACTTAACACACAAACTGATCTAACTATATTTAGCATGTCCATATTGACCAAAGTTTAAACATTTTTCTAGGCAGCTTAGAACTAGCTCAAAAGGGTGACCCAGTGGGCTTTCAGAGGTTTTATACAGACTTATAAGACCAGACTTCTAATTGAGACTTGCGTTCATTTGTCAAAACGTGTCGCTACACCAGGCCAGTAAACGGGACAGGCGTCTAATAGGGACTAGGCTTTTGACTGAAGTTTTACAGTATTAACCTATGCTATTGCGTTTAATTAACACTGACTCAAGTGAATTTTTAATAAGTAGGGAAGCACTATGGAGTTTCACCGTTAGCTTTGCTCCCTTCCCCCATCAGCAGTTTGACGATACAGAGGAAACCCTTGGCTGCAGCCAGGTGCAGTGGCCGGTCTCCTACCTCACCACTCGCATTCACATCTGCCCCAAACTTTAGCAGCAGCTTTGCCACCTGAAAGGCAGAGATACCCAAGAAAATTTAGATAAATGTGTCTGTTTCCTGAATTTTTTCAGTTTTATTTCTTTAACTGATATGAGCAATTTACCTGCTCGTGGCCGTTGTAAGAAGCAATGTGCAGTGGGGTGAAAAACACAGCATCCTGAACATTCACAAAGGCTCCATGCTGCAGGAGTATATCTGCTGCCTGTTGGGGCAAAATGGCAAATTATGAATATTTGAAATGCAATGAAAATGTCACAGCTAACGATACAGACAAATAAGGCCCAGCTCTCACCTCATGGTGCCCAGCCAAGGTAGCCACATGCAGGGCAGTGAGGGCACCGTAGCCCACCTGCTGCACGTCTGACCCTCCATGGAGAAGTGCAGTCAGCAGCTCAGCATTGTCCTGTGGTGCAGTAAAAAAAAAGGAATACATCCAAAGGCGTTGAGGTGAAACCATAACTGCTGCATTACTGTCCAACACTCACTTTATCGTCTCAACCATCACAGCATAAAGGTTAGCCATGATTGTTCTGCCTTCACCACGTGCCTGCATTAACATCACAATAAAGCAAGAAGCAGCTAAGCCTCCTGGCTTTGTGTGTCTTTGCACTCCACCATGTGGTAAAACGTGAGACAGCTCTTCACCACATACCAACACAAGCAAGACAAAGACCTAGATTGCTCCTTGAAACACATTTCGAAACAATTTTTATTGCTCTTTAATTCTCTTCACCTTGTAAGCAGCCAGGTGGAGTGCAGTGAATCCATTCCTGGACAGTCTGGAAGGACGCAGGCCTTTGAGCATCAAGGAGCGAATATGGGCCTTGTTACCTGGTCACAAATACGTGATACACATTATGTTTAACCATTAAGAGGCAGGCAAACTGTCCAAATAGTTAGAACCATTTCTTTCAAATGTATTTTTTACTTTCTTGCCAATCAAATCTTTTTGCACACTTTATTTCAAATCCTCTGTTTACTTCTATTTGACCAACACCAGAAAGGTCATCTTGAGACAATAATGTCAGTCAGTCTGTAGTAATCCTTTCTTCCACCATCACATTTTGTTGAGGAGTTATTAATAGACTGTAGTAGTCATGCATACCTCCACATGCGCAGCAGAGATGCAGCAGCGACAGCCCCTTCTCTGTTCGGTAGCTCAAGTTCACCTTCTGAAAAGCTTCATCAGAGCTGAGGCACAGAAAAATCAACATCACCTGCTGGTGACAAGTGAAACCCGACTGACAGAAAAGTAAGCAGGCCGAGGAGAATGTAGGCATAAAGTGCACATGTGGGTTATACTATGACTCACACAGACTGAAATTCCCTTTTTTGTTTTCAAACAGAAGTTTTTTGTCACCTGAAAGCAAGTTTGAGATCCACGAGCTCACTGTCTTTGAGCTGGAGGTCGTCTTCCAGCTTCTCGACAATCACAGAGTACGACTCACCCACCTTCTTCTTCCACTCATCTTCACAGCCCCGTCATCAGGGTTAAACATAACAATTAAAAAGAAAAACAAATACACATATTTTACCTCCTATATAAATGTGTGTTAAATAAGTTCAAACAACTGTATCACTCACTCACAGTTTAGAAAAGGCTCGTCAGTGTTTGTGATAGAGAGTGATAGCAGCTAACAGTAAAACCCACCCCTGCAGGACTTACTTCTTCAATTCAAACCTCGTTCTTATGCCTGTGGATACATCTGACAATAAAATTTTCTCACGTACATACCTGTACATGTCTGAGATGGTCTTGATTTGTAGTTTCCCATTGATAAGGTCCTTCTCTTGTAATATGCGCTGTATAGTTTGGTTTACTAGAGTGAAGCAGTAATACAATCTCTCACTCTGCCACAATTGCACAGGTCCAGATAAAGGGGGATCATGGCTGTGGGCTAAAAATAAACACCTTTGAGTGGAATGCCTAACAACTACAACAACTGATCTCTGCAAGCAGGCGTCTATCAGTGTGACTGTGTGTTCTTCTATTGTATTGAAATGAAGCAAGTGATCTGCTGTGCCTGATACTACAATCAGTATGTGACATAGGAGGGGCTGGTTGATTTGATGGATCTACTTGACATTTTTGTCCATGCATACGTTCTCTGTCATGTATTTTTCACAGCAGACCTGGTGACTTGTCATAGCAGGAAAAGCAAAGGAGGAGCTAGTATCATTAACAATGACTATGTTCCAGCAACGTAGTAAGTAATACTGTTATTGCTAAATGTCTGCTGTGAATTAAAAAAAAGGTTAGATGAAAATGCCGTTTGCCTTCATGCTGTCATATAACAATGGACATGTCTATGAAGAGCAGTGTGCCAGATGCTCCAAATATCAACCATGAGCCAAACTGGTTTTCTCTGTGTCTGCTGATGTACCTTTACACTTTTGTCGCTGCCAAACTAACAGCTTTTCCTCTTGTCCTGGGCAAAGCACCACTTAAATGCTAAGACAATGACTTGCAGATGAGGTATTAAGCAAAATGCTTCTAAGACACTAGAAAGTTATATTTTTATATGAGACAAGCTTACAAAAATTTTAAGAATGAACTTTATGAAAGGTCATACTCACAATGAATGACATGACAGCAAAGACAAATATTTGATCATCATATGATCATACAATACACAAGGGATTTATAGCACAATCACTGTTATGTTGTACTGACAATATAAAACTTCTCACATAAATCTCAATTTAAAAAAGTAACTTCATTTGTTTGATTTTCTTTGTGTGATGTCTTCATATAGTAACTTCCTGAACTTCAACATCTCCTCCAGGTTCTTACACTCTAAGGACTCTTGCATGGACATCAGCTTTGTGTCTTTAGGTAAGGGGAATGTAGAGCCACTCAGGACGGCCTGCAGCATCTCCAGAGACATCGAGAAGGAGCTTTGTGGATCAGAGCAAACAGGGAATAAACAAGCCTTCCACAAACTACAGCTTGATGCGTCACCGGAGAACTTAAGGTCTTCATTCTTCAGCCCCCAGTGGGGCGGACACTCCGCCAGGCTGAAACCACAAAGCTTCAGCTCTTCCATGTACGCAGCGGCTTCCACACTGTGCTTCAAGTTGTCATTAATCCCAAAGGCGACAGTTACAAACCTGGTTTGGTGCTCGTGATTCACACACAGTGAATGCATGAAGACTCCATCGGGCACCGAGAGGCCCGCACCTACCCGGCAGCTGCTGATGATTGAGCCCCTACCTACGGAGGCTCCCGCTCCCACTCTAGAGTACTCCACGACTGATCCAGCTCCCACACAGCAACTGGGGTCGAGGATGCTGCACATAACGCAGCATCCCGAGGAGCCTTCAGAGTTCTCATTCATATGTATGCTGAAGGCAGGTGACAGGAGGCCCAGCTCGCTCCTCAGCGCCACATCCTCAGTGAGGTGAAAGAGGTACTCTGATGTGGTTCCAATGTGATAAAACTTGGAGTTGTTCAGGAGAATGACATTCAAGGGTGTCCCTTTTAGAAAATGGAAGATCTTTTGGCGGATTTCCACCAGACCACTCTCCTCTTTGGTGACATTCGCAGTATTGTTGGTGTAATCTATCGTGGCTTTGGAGCCCAGTGCTTGGAGAAAGTCCCCGTATGCGTCCACCTCACAGTCCAAATGTCCCAACTCTTTCAGCAGCTTAAGAAGAGACTTTGCAGTAGCATAGTCAACGTAATAGGTGCTGTCTGTGTAGACAAACTCAGCATCTGAAAGAGAAAAACAACCGCTCTGCCTTTTACAAACAGCTCCACTGTCTCGCATCTTACCGATGCTCGGCTTGTGTAGAAAGTGTAGGCAGGAAATGTCCTCCATTTCTGAGTGAGCGGTCTTTTCGTGTGAATCCAACACAAACACTCCATGAGTAGTCCCGACAGATAGCGGGGAGGGGTGGGCTAAAGCTGTAAAGCCAGGTTTGTCAAACCTAACACTCTCATCCTCTGCAATACTGTAGAGCTCTATGTCATCTGCACAGGTCACCAGTACGCCAGGCTTCATCTGGGAAGGGAAATCCACATACATGGCCAGTTTGAGCTCCAACATCTGGTAGAGGGGATCACCCAGTGGCATGGCGGTGAAGATTTTTCCCAGGGCGCTGGCACTGGGCAAACGCTGACTCAACCCTCCTGGAAGGATAAGAAGAGATATGACAAAGTTGTGAATCTGTTCGGGTTAATTAAATGATGATGATCCTCTGCTGTAGGAGTTGATGGACTGGTAGATTTCACTTGAGAATGCATAAAGAGTGTAGGGAGTTTTTAATGTTTACATGTTAGACTTAAAAGTAAAAACAAATGAGCAGACATGGATGCAAGAGTAGCTGTGAACGAAGAGTAGGATCTGCACTGTGCGAGTCGAGAAGCGGAGCCCTGTCGCGGTGATGAAGTTTAAAAGGCAGGCCATAACGTCATGTTAAAGAAGACTTGCTTATTATATTAGAGGAGTAATACTGTCTGCTGTTTGACTACAGCAAGTGGCTTTAACAATTCATGAATAGATTTTCAAAGACTTTTATAGTATATAAGCACACAACCCATCCATCTTATTTTCCTTGTTGGCCCCTATTTGTATTTAGGGACATAAAGGGATGTGGATGTCATCATTGCATGTACTTTTAGCGCAGAATTTATTAGTCAGTAATCTAATAAATTCATCGGCCACAGTTTTTGATAATCTATTCATCGCTTCAGATATTTTTCAAAGCAAAAATGTCCCACAGTTTCTGGTTTTCACCCTCTAAAATGTGAATATCTCCTACTTAATTTAGGCCTGCATGATAGTAAATTGCGTCTCTTTGGCTGGAAGGGGCTGAACGATTTTGAAAAAAAGATGTAATTGCAGTCATTTTGACTGATATTACAACTGCAATATGACTTGCGATACTAAGGAGAATGATAATTTTTACATCGTTATTCTCATTTTCACTGAAAAACACATTAAAATGAATTAAGGTGTGATTTCTGAAAGGCTCTGCACCAAACAAAGATGATTACTTAGTTTTACTAAGTGTCTAGAATATGATGCGTAGGCCAAGACAACTCTGCAGCACAACTATATTTAATTTAAATAGTATTTTGACACACATATCACCTTCAACAAATATTGTGCCTCCTGCAATTTTGAAATTGCAGGAGGGCCATATTGGGATTTTGATGAAATTTCGATTAATTGTTCAGACCTATTCTAAAACTGTGAACAGAACAAGTTACACGAATAAGATGTATCGGGCTCTGGAAAATAGTAACAGCAATTTGTTTTGTACAATTTTGTGACATTTTATACACCAAACAATGAATAGAAAAACCAAAGTAGTAGGCATATCAATCAATAATGAAAATAGTTGCAACCCTACCAGCATGAGTTGGAGGAAAAGCTAATGAAATAAATTATTTATATGTAACCTATTTAAATGTATAACAGCAACAAAAGGCCAGTAAAATCTCAAACCTGCATGGATCAGGATGACTCTCAGCCTGCCCAGGGTCTTCCCATAGATGTCACTCAGCTGCTGCAGTGCGTACAGAGTGGAGCCCCCATTCCCTTAAAAACACATGGTCATATTGGTAATAATGATTATAATAATGTAGTGCTTTGTTGATCCCACCCCGAGCAACAAACTGAGGGCAGTGAATTGAAAGTGAGTGTGACTCACTCACCTATTTTAGATCCAGGCGGATCTGAGAAGACCTTGTAGTGGACTCCAAGGGGAAGCTCTTTCCTGTCAACTTTCTCACTGATCTGCAGCTCGTATGCTTCCCTCTGGCTCACATCCACAGCGGTCACAACCACCACGTCCCAGAACTCACCGGGCTGCACCTCCCGGTCTTCAGGTACAGAAAAAGCAGCGGGAGAATAGAGCACAGGCTTTTAGGACTGAACTACAAGAAGGGCAGGTACATAATCACATATAAAACTCACCACGCAGCGAGCTGAATTTTCGGAGTTTTTCTCGTGTTGCAATTTGTAACTTTATGGTACATTCCTGGCTCATATTGTCGCCTCCGATATCGATTAAATACACTTCGATAATGTCTCATAAGTTGTGGCTGACGGTTATGCTTGGTGTAGCTTGACCGTGCCTTATTTCCGGGTATCGTCACGTGGTTTGTTGTGTTTACAACGTAGGCCGGGGAGGGAGTGCATAGAGCACAATAGAGCACGTGGTGATTGTTAAAGTGCAGGGCAAGGATCTTAGAAAGGATGATGTTATGAACCCAACTTCTTATTCTCTGCAATGAATTTTACGTCTAGGATTAAATATTGATTCTAATGAATGTGTATTTTGTAATATAGAAATACACATTCACACATAGGCCTACATGTCATCTGATGTGCTCTTGTAACTTATCAAATTATTTTGGGAGGATTTTACAATTGGAGATTAATACTAATTTGACTATACCGGACTTGGCTTACAGTAATGTTAGATTAGGTCTTATAATGCAGGAAAGAGAGTTGGAAATTTTATACAAAAACCTGATAATTCGCGCTAAATAATATTTTTACACAAATGTAAATTCGTACACTCCACATTTCACTACATTTTACATTAGATTCACTGAAAGTGATTACATCTAGGAAGGCAATATTTCTTAATCCACTTCATGTCAATTTTATTATTTAACTGGGCACACATTAAAAGAATGGGCATATTTTAGTTGACTAGAAGTTCATTCTTGAACTTGGAAACCATAGTTTGACTAAACAAATAAAGTGGACTTGAGTTTGATGAACTGAGTCTAAAAATATGAGAATCAGCCTTTAAAACCCAACCAGTTCTAGTCAGTAAATGATTCATCAAATAATCCATTGTCATTAGAAAGTGTACTCACTCCCTTACTGTAACCTGTTACCTATTATATTAGCTTTATTGATCAGAAATTACTGAGTATAGTTTTTAACAAACTGTCACTGTTCACATTGTGTCACCGTGACAACAAACACATGACAGCATCCAAAGTATTGGCTGCATGTTTGTTTGCATGACATTAATGTATTTTCGTTATGCCATGTCCCTGGTGCTGTGCAGAAAAAGCAGATGACAGGGTACTAAATGTCCATGACAATATGTGGGAATGTCCAGGGATTGGTTGTCTGTCTGTTTTTTTTTTTTTTTTTTTACAGATACTGAAGGTAGCAAGTTTGGTTGAAAAGGAACTGGAGGATGAATGCATGCAATGTAAACAACTAAGGATATCTTTAACATTAAGAGTCTGTTTCTTTCATAGTGAAGGCTGCCTTCCTTATGACAGCCAACAGGTTGCATGCAGACCACGAGCAAAAGGAGATGGTAAACCAGTCTATGGAGCTAAAGCAACAAGAACAACGGGCCACGAAGCACTCTGGCAGAGGCAGCGGGAGCATGCTTGGATGGTGGTCGCTCTGCAAGTGTTAAAGAGCCAGGGGGGACAGGCAGGTGCAGGATTTCTAAAAGAGAGAGGGAGGGTGGTTTGAGAGTGACGGGCCCTTGGGGGGCGGCTTGCCTCACTGACCAAGGCCTTTCACAAGAATAGCACACACCAGATGCTCTTCAGTGACCTGCAGAGTGGTGTGAAAAGGCAGCAAGCGCCAAGGCCAAGTCACACACACACACACTCACCCAGGGATGCTTTGGACAGGTGTATTTCACAGGACCACTGACTGGCTTGCGTCTGACAGTATTTCATAATTTTACTTGAAATGCCATTCTATACCAACAATTACATTTTTCTATACAGATGCATTCGCTTTATACTCTTGTTCTTCCTGTTTTGCTGTCTAGGAAGCGGCGTGAGTACAACAGGATGATCACGGAGCAAACACAATACCTGGAAAACAGGCAGAGCTACTAACTCCTTTAAACCTCGGCCAGCAGAGTGTTTCACTTTGCCTCCACCGTACTCCTCTGCTGGCCTATGCACCTGTCACAACACTAAAACCACAAGTTACAGTGGGACACAACTCCAAGCTGTGTTTTTCTTTCTTTTTTCTCCATAAAAAAATGGTTCAGGAATGGACGGAATGCAGAGTGCTGGAGGTAAACCCCGACACAACAGCTGAAATGAGCATAATCCATAGGTCTTTTGTGTTTATTGTTTCAGTTTAATCAAGAAAACAGCTTGCCATGTGGGATACTTGGCCATTGAGCGTCAACATGTTATACAATCAGTGTAAGAGTTGTCGTTTTAAACTATACATCGTTGTCTCAAAATAAAAACAGCATCATCACTCACTAAATGTACATCTTGGCTCACTTATATTTTAATCAAATAGTTCAACTTTAATTAGGAGGTAGAAAATAAAGTATAACGAAAGAGGCTGATTCAAAACATCTCTGCTTAGACTAGTTTCATCCATGTTAGTTTCTGTGAAGACCATAATATAGCGGCTCTAATAAAACGTAACGCTTAAAATCCAAGAGAGATTGTGAAACATTGTGCACTCTTGCTTCATACCTATTAATCTAGCTGAAAACATGTAGCAAGTTCTTAAAAAGACCTGTACAGTATTTCTTTACCCTGTTCAAAGAGATTTTCTGTCATTTTCTGAATGAACAAAGTCATACAGTGAGAACTGAGGTTTAAAGACTACAAATCTATTGCAAAGACGTCTGTAATCTCAGGGTGGAACGTGTGCTTCGTCAAGAGCACAGCACCTCCACACAGCAGAGGTGAAATGGGATGGACAGTGAGATGGTCCTAATCCCTGCTACTGATGCTACTGCTTCTCTTGTAGGAAGACCATGGCAGCACTATTGTGTCACAGTGCGGAGGGTGGCAGAGCTGCCAGGCTGTCCTTGTTGGCCACCAGGAAGTGGCTACAGGCAGAAAAAGCGCTATAAAAGCTGGAAGACAGGCCAGCGATGTCTGTGGAGATGTAGGGCAGGACACCCGGCGTGGCCTGGTTGTAGTAGGTGATCTGAAACAAAACATATCAGGTCAGAAGTGGCGAAGTAAACCACTGCAGCTTGTTATTACTTTGCGTTCGTTTTGCAGTTGTGAATTGTTAGGGTGCAGAAATGTGCTCATAGCAAGCGTGGATGGTGAACTGCGTGACCCTCTCATTTGGCCAACCTTGGTGACAGTACTGGACTCTTCCCAGATTGTAAAGCCAGCACAGAGCACCTCTCCCCTGGTGTAGGCCTCAGTGGGAGGGTGAGTGGGCAAAGTGACAGAGCGCAGAGCGATCAGATATGGGTCCCTATGAGGGACAAAAGAGGATAGCATCATGAGGCTTTGAGAAAGAGCAAGAGGCATAAAAATATAAGGTGGATTAGGTATGTAGTTACAGCACCTGGCATCACATGGCTTCCTTCTAGATGCCAGCAAGATGAAGTCCTGGCCTTTGCCCCCTTTACTGACAGACGGTGTAGCTATGTGATAAAGGGTGTCATCCTTATCCGCTTGGTTGATCACCTCACACTCCCTGCAGTGGCCACAAAGCAATGAGCATGTGAAAAAAAAAAAACTTATTAGCCATGACTTAGTGTTGTTTGCAATATCAATAGTGTAGGGGAGAGCAGGGTCTGTTGTCACACTTTTCACACTGTCTAGCATTTACCATACATCACAATGGTATAATTGTCTTAATAAATTAAAGTAGGTAGTCTTGAGCACATGTTTTGTTTTCATTACATCTTCATATATTATCTTGTTACGGAGTTGTAGACTGTTGAATGGATAATGTGTGCTTGTGATATATTGTCCCATGTCTAATGGTTGGAGCAGATGTGAGCAGTGGGGTAGAAATGACAACATAATTATACCATTTTCTTTGGCATAACTGAGTCCAGCAATGGACAAATGAGAAAGACTTGTGGTTGTCCAAAAAGAGGATACAGGGCTTCTCCTTTGAAAACTTTGCATGTTCATTAAAATGTTTCAGGAAGTCAACAAAGTGCATATCTTTCATCCATTCAGAGGGATGTGGCCCATTGATCAGGAACTGATTGTGGAAGTTCACACGGGGGAAAATAAAATATGATGGTATACTATTTTCTGTGGCTGAGAAAGCACAGGTCAGTGTGCCCCTTTCAGCAGAGGTCAATGAACCTACTTGTTTGAATCGATGTCTGGCCACCACTTTGTCAGGATTATGTCCAGCGGCCAACCCAGTTTCATCAACATTCCATGTCTCCCGGTCCAAACTCATTTTTCTGTTACTCTTTGTCTACATTGTTGAAGAAAAAGTTTTCTCTTTTGAAGCTACTTGCCCTAGCAAGGCTGGTTACTCAGCGACAGCGTTGTGTGCCACTTTAATAAGCCTGTAAACCACTCTTTGCTGGCTTTTTTTGTTTTCTGACACTAAATCTTTCTAAATCAGGTGAAAAACTCTGTGGCACAGACCTCCAATTTATGAATTTATGAACCACATTGTTGCACTGGGTAACATGTCCCTTCAAGTAGTTTATCATGAGTCCATCCCACATATACAGCTGCAATTAAGACTCACTAATTGTGCATTAAGCCGAGGTTGAAAATGGTCCCCAGAGAAACACTCTACCTACTTATGTTCCCTGCTGTTTTAGGCAGTTACTGAGCCTTTAAAAAAATTTTTTTTTAAATGAAACTGTATATTTGTGACCCAAGATTTACATTTTATGTAGAAACACCTGGGCCTGGGGGTGAGCGCCACAGACAGGGTAGGGTTGAGAGACAGACTTTTACTTTTTTAAAATAATTTGTTGGCAATAAAAAGACAAAATGATGAATTAATTATTAATTAAAATGATCATGTAAGCTTATTCCACTGTTGCACTGAGTGTAAAAGCTGCTGTGCGCAAGATGACGCAAAAGGCAAAAATGTATATTCACTGACTCATAGTGCCGGTCCCACTCCTTTCTCCTCCTCAGGTCTGACAGTAGGTGGAATGTCTGCTCTGCTGGTACACCAACGTGCATCTCCACCTTGAAACACAGCACGTGGTTTTCCTCCAGTGTGTACAGTCTGACCTAGGAATGGAGCAAAGAGGCAGTGGGCTCTACATGTATAAATAGGATTTGTTCCAGTTATTTGAATGTGCACACATGGAGTTTGACTGCTGTCAAAGCTGCTTCATTAACTGGTGGGTCCATGAGATTATAAATATGATAAGAAGGGTGGTGCAGTTTAAAGTCTGAATTA